GCGGCCGCGGCGGAGACCCTGGCCCTGCTGCCTTCGCTGGCCATCCGCTCGCTGGGGCCTCTGGAGGACCCGTTCTGCGCCCTCCATTCGGTGATGAACACCCACACGCCGTCCCACGCGGACTTCCTGGCCAAGCTGGTGGCCCACGCGTGCTGGGCGGCCAAGGAGCTGGACGGCACCTTCCACCCGGAGCGCGTGGGCGTGTGCGCGCTGCTGGGCGCGCAGCTGGAGAACTCGTGCCTGCTCCCGGGGCTGGCCGTGCCCGCCGCGCCCTGCGGCCAGGTGACCGCCGTGCTCGCCGGCGCCAGGGTGGCCCTGTTTGCTTGCTGCTTCGGCCTCGCCAGTCCCAAGGCGCCCTCGACCGTCCGTCTCGCTAGCTCCACGGACGTCCTGCGCTTCGGGAAGGGACAAGATAGACTGATAGAAAACCAAGTGGCCCAGCTGGCCAACATGAACGTTAACGTGGCCGTGGTGTGGGGGGAAATCGAGGAGAAGACCCTCGCCCAGGCCAACAAGCTGGGCATCATGGTGGTGCAGGTGAAGGCGCTGCGGGAGCTGGTTTACCTGGGGGAGGTGCTGGGCACACCTCTGATGCCGTATCTGGTTCCGCCCCTGGAGCCAGGGAGGTGCCACCGGGTGTACCAGCAGGAGCTGGGGGAAGGGCTGGCCATGGTGTTTGAATGGGAATGTCGGGGCACCCCGGCCCTCACCCTGGTCCTCAGGGGCGCCACGAAGGCGGTGCTCCGGGGCGCCGAGCAGGCCGTCTACCACGGCATCGACGCCTTTTTCCAGCTGTGCCAGGACCCCAGGCTGCTTCCCGGGGCCGGGGCCACGGAGATGGCCCTGGCGAAGATGCTCTCAGATAAAGGCACCGCCTTGGAAGCGCCCGAGGGGCCCGCGCTCCTGGCGTTCGCCGAGGCGCTGCGCTCCCTCCCCGAGACCCTGGCGGCCAACGCGGGCTTGGCGGTGCCCGAGGCGATGGCCCAGATGACCACGGCCCACCAGGGCGGCCACTTCCTGGCAGGCGTGGGGGCCGAGGGGATAATCAACGCGGCCCAGGAGGAGGTGTGGGACATCCTGGGGGCCAAGGCCCAGGGCCTGCGCGCCGCGGCCGACGTGGTCCTGCAGCTCGCCACTGTGGATGAGATCCTGGTGGCCAAGGGCGCTGTCCCGCACACGCAGGACTTGAGCCCGGACCCCAGGGAGGCAAAGGGATGCCCATCGCCTGAGAGGAAAGCCAAATAGCAACGTCCTCAAAATGCGGGGGCTGCCGAGGAGGGGCACGGTCACCCCGGAAATGACTGTCTGCCTTACCTAATCCCTCCGTGTGTGGGGCAGAGTCCATTTCTTTAGTTAAAAAAATAACATAAAAGTCCTTTTCATTGATTTACTTCCTTTCAGATTCTTGGCTTTTTTTATTTCCCATTTCTCTCCATCAGATCCTGTTCCTTTACCCCAATCAACAGCAAGGTTCAATTCTACTCGAGATTTTTGGATTAAGCTCCTGAGGATGAAAACCGAGCGCAGGGATTTCTTCTCTGCTATTTGGCCGTAGGACGTTCTCATGTACCTGAATTTCTGTCTAGATGTCACTTTGGCAACCGGAGAACATCAGTCCCAGCTCACAGGAGTGGCCGCGCATTCCTGTTGTATTTGGGGAAAGAAAGGAGTATTTAAGGCAAGAAGGAAGAGCATGAGGAGGAGGGAGGGAAGGGAGGAAACTCAGCCGGCACAGATAAGAAAAGATAACACAGGGGCACAAATAAGAAAAAAAAACAGGGGCCACCCCGCCGGTGTGGCTCAGCGGTTGAGAGTCAACCTATGACCCAGGAGGTCAAGGTTCGATTCCTGGGATGCGGCTGGATCCCCAGCAGGGGGCGTGCAGGAGGCAGCCGATCAATGACTCTGATCATTGATGTTTCTCTCTCTCTCTCCCTCCTTCTCCCTTCCTCTCTCTGAAATCAATAAAGATACACATTCAAAAACAAACCGTTAGACGTGGGCTAAGGTGGCTGTGCAGGGGAGGGGAGCTGGGAGCACCCAGCCCCAGGCTATCTGGGTGGGACTGTGAGTCCGACTGGACACACCCCTGGGCATTAGAGAGGGTGTCCGAGCAGAGCTGGACACACTACCCTCGACTTTTCCACTGTAGCCATCCAAGTGACTGTGTCTGGGAAAAGAGCAGAATCCAGTGGCAGGACCTAGGAGACGAGAGGCTGCAATCTCTCAGAATCATAAAAATCAAGACGCTTTGAGCATTCGGAGAGAGAACCAGGCTCGAGAACCAGAGATCTCATAGGGGGTCTATTAGCTGCCACCCAGCGAAACAAATTTGCAAAGATTCTCTTGAAACTGGCAAGAAGTGAAGTCCTGAAGCACTGTTAGTGACCAGGGGATGGCAAACGGAAATGTGGAGAACCACANATTCTCTTGAAACTGGCAAGAAGTGAAGTCCTGAAGCACTGTTAGTGACCAGGGGACGGCAAACAGAAATGTGGAGAACCACGCTCGTTATTACTAGTTTAAGGTATAAAACCACCCCTGGTGTGTGGGTCCTTGCTGTGCTTTCATCATATTTTAGTGAATCAAATGTCTCTCCTGCCCTTAAGTTCTCTATTCTCACAGCCTCAGTTCCATAATAGTGAAAATGGCAGGAATAGTTAACTTTCTAAAGCAGTACAAAAGAACTTCATATAAATGTTATTTAACCATCAAAACGTATTTATGAGAAAGAAGTCAGGTTCTCTCTCGGTTGCAGGAGACACATTAGAGCTGCAGAAATATTAAGTAATCGGCCAATGTTACACAGTAAATAGAAAAGGGAAACCCGATGCTTTAGTCTTTATTGCCCCGACCATAAATTTCTCTATTGTGATGTTTTCAGAGATATAACCCCTATGATTACAAAGCAGATATGCCTCCAAGTGGCCCTTTGCAAATTTACAATTGGTGTTTTTTTGTTTTTTTTTTTTNCTTTGCAAATTTACAATTGGTGTTTTTTTGTTTTTTTTAAAATATATCTTTATTGATTTCAGAGAGGAAAGAAGAGCAAGAGAGAGAGATAGGAACATCAATGATGAGAGTTATTGATCGGCTGCCTCCTGCTTGCCCCCTACTGGGGGTCGAGCCTGCAACCCGGGCATGTGCCCTGACGGGGAACTGAACCCTGATCGCCTCGATCCTAGGTCGACGCTCAACCGTTGAGCCACGCCCAGCCGGGCTACAATTGGTGTTCTTAAAATTAGACAAAAAGCTATGTTCATTTTGTAAATATAAAGTGTTCTCACATTTTAGTTACAGATCCAAGACATACAGAGATCTGGAAAAAAGTATGGCAGAANAAATTAGACAAAAAGCTATGTTCATTTTGTAAATATAAAGTGTTCTCACAACATTTTAGTTATAGATCCAAGACATACAGAGATCTGGAAAAAAGTATGGCAGACACAAAATTAACTAGCTTATGCTGAGAAGGTAAAAACACCTGACCACACTCTAAATTAGAAGACAGAATTCATGCGTCTTATGGGACGTGCTTTCGG